TGAATTACAAACATTGCTCGGAAAGAGACATACGGTCAAAAATCGTTGTCTAATAGCACTGTACAGAATCGAAACATAGAAGGAATAAACAAATTCCGTGCACAAAGGACACAAGCACATAGAATGACAAAGAAGGACCGTGAAAGAATATCGTAAATGCAGGACGGAAGGAGAGAGACACTGTTAAAATGACGGAGACCAAGTGAATGAAAACGCGAAGTTATTTGCGCGGTCTTATTACCCAAGAAACTGTCGTTTTCCTAACTAAATGATTACACGAAGAAAAATGGGTCGTAGGTCACAGAAAATGAGAAGACCTCGAAACAATGTCAAGAAGTATTCATAATGAAAGCTGGTCCACTACTCGTCTTGAGCCATATGTTTACAAAATAGGCTTTTCTTGTGAGGCCACTCTCTTCACACCTTCCTGGACAGTCCTCACTACACCAGGGAAAGAATGAAGAAGCAGGAGTCCCTCAAGGGTCAGTACTTGCACCTATATTTTGTCCGAATTCAGGATGCATATCTGACGAGGACAATAAAGCTCAACGAGGAGTAAAAGATACAAGTACTACATGAAGACTTCGGCAAGCTGCAGAAGTTGTCCAGCATGTGGCTTCAGTGGTTTACTCCTGACGAAGCAAAATGATGAAAACACTAGGTAGGTCAGAGGAACAGTGCCACCTGGAAAAGGAATTATTGTAACTCATAAAACTGGAAAAAAAAAACTGATGGCGGACATCACATTGACCTCATCTGTGGCGTCCATTAACAGTATAATATCGGTGGTATATGCAAAGCTAGCAAATACATGAATAGCCTTTAGAAATGTGAACAAGATGGAATTCAGATAACTGCACTGGACATTTGTAAGGAGTACGCGGAGCTAGCATGGTACCTTCATCACTGTACACAACATAAGTATGCGGCGCCAACCTAGTGCCCTCGTCTCATCAAGCATACAAAACAAATTAAGAAAGTTCAAAGGTTTTCTACACGGCTCGTTCCAGACCTCGAGAGACACTTGAGTTGATGGAGACAAATTATATGATATGTCATAAAATACTACATGAATATAAAACTGGAATATACAAGAATGAACACTGCAGTAGACTTATTGGCCCATGCTAGACATATTCAACTCACCTACCAACATCCACTCATGTACCCGTCCAAACTATCCCATACCCCCGGCCGGGATTGAACCCGCGGTCATAGAGTCTCAAAACTCCAGCCCGTCGCGCTAGCCACTAGACCAGCTAGCCACAATAAGATTCATCCAACTAGGTATATTTCTACACCATAGGAAAGTTAGCACAGGCACCTCTGTGACCACAAATGCAAGTTTTTACAGACGAATCTCCAGCCAGTCACGGCCACGCTAGCTGGAGATTCGTCTGTAAAAACTTGCATTTGTGGTCACAGAGGTGCCTGTGCTAACTTTCCTATGGTGTAGAAATATACCTAGTTGGATGAATCTTATTGTGGCTAGCTGGTCTAGTGGCTAGCGCGACGGGCTGGAGTTTTGAGACCGTCCAAACTATATTTAGAACTACCCAAAGTGCTTACTTACCTCAGTGACGTTACTGGGGAGTTTATTCCACTCATCAACTACTGTCAAGCCAAGATTTCCCCATATCTGTAAATTTTAATTTGTCTAGCTTTAATCCTGTCTTGGTTAGAAATGTTCAACACACTGTTTATGTCCCCCTTTATTTATTCCTGTTTTCCATTAGTACATGTCAATAATTTTTTCCCCTTATTCTACGTTTTTCTAGAGAGTGCAAATTCAGTGCCGTAAGTAGTAGTAGAGGAATGGAGGGGAAGGCGTAGTAGAAGTAGGTTCAGTTTAAGAACAAGAAAAAGGAGCACTGCAGGAGGGCTAAGGGCATACTTTTATTTGTCTTCTCCATTCCTCTATTATTGCTACTACCTTTACTATTCCCTCCCTTCACTCCCCTTTCTCTCCAGTGTCATAAGTTTATATTCATAGGGAAGGTTACAAATACATGACACGAACTTCGTCATACTTTGGTTTTTCCTTATTTCTTTTGTGACCTCCTTAAATTGAATATATTTGTCAATAAAATGACCTCTTTCGATTCGCCTGTAAATGGTCTCTTTTCACCCAAGAATTCTCTATTAGGAATATATACAGTTTGCCCAACTTGTATAAGTGCGATCAGTGTGTAATAGCGCATAAAATGCGTGCAAAAGGCATAGATGGAAAAGTGGGCAGATGGATTTATAATTCTCTAACAAATAGAACGAAAAGAATAATTAGGAAACAGGGTTAAGCTGTACACCCAGGTATACCATAGGGTCATTAGGAACCGATTGTATTGTGTGTTATTGAAATGAATTATGCGAGGAGGTAATGGCAGCAAACTTCTTACATGGATTCAAAAGTAGATGCAAGAGGCTAGATCACAATAAGTATAGAAACTGATCCTGGAGTTTGAGCTCTTATCCCAGCAGACACACCTCCAGAACATTGTTGCTGTGCGCTCCTCCACACAGGCTTGAAATTCTTGGAATAAGAAAAGACAGTCTCAATTATTATTCATAATGAAAACTTCGCAGTGCCAAGACTGGAACAATATAGTAATTTAGACGACGTTTCGGTCATTCCTGGATAACTGTCAAATTATAATTTGATAATCCTGGACGGACCGAAACGGCATCTCATGTTTTAAGTTCAAACCGTAGATTATTGGTGCATAATTTATAATTTACAGGACGCTAGAAGCATATCGTTTCCACATCAGGACATTGTTCGTTGGCAACAGTAGCACTCATACCCTAATAATTTTTTAGGGAAGGCCACTAATATAATAGATTTTGACAGTTAAATATTAATCATGGTTCGAGCACCACCCTGGAGTATTCGCTCTTAACTTCGTACCCAGTCCGTGCAGCTGCAGACCGCCACCGTTTAGCAAACAATGTGAACCGCTTGTCTGCTGAGTTGGTCCCCGTTACTCCCATTACGGTAAGCTGGCTTATTTTGGCTCAGATACCAGATATATCTAGCCCTTACAACCTCTCACGCCTGGTGCGCGTTGCTCAGGCACGCTCTCATCGTTCCAATAAAATGAATTAAGATGTGCAGGTGTGACAGCGGTGGACCTTGATATCACTGTCATAAAAACTATATCTGAGCAGGCTAGTGGGAGCCGAGCCATACTGTGCAACTATGGCTATTTGTTAATGCGTTTGTTGGAGACGACCTCCACAGAACACTTCACTTTGTCCAGTGAAGTAAATAACCTAATATAATAATAATTGCCCACTAGAAAATCTGCTTTTTTTTTACCTTTCACTTTCAATTTATGGATATTTTGACCTGGCTTAATTAACATGAACTATTAGGGTACGAATTTAATTTTAAGAGCCGAGTATTGTTCTTACTGCACTGGCTGGTGTAATGGTTTATTGTTGTGTGATAGGAGAGACACTTCTTGTGTTTGTGTGTGTGTGTGTGTGTGTGTGTGTGTGTGTGTGTGTGTGTGTGTGTGTGTGCGTGTGTGTGTGTGTGTGTGTGTGTGGTGTGTGTGTGTGTGTGTGTGTGTGTGTGTGGTGTGTGTGTTGGTGTGTGTGTGTGTGTGTGTGTGTGTGTGTTGCACCAACCTATGCACTACTTAAGACAGACCAGTTAAACATGAATTGCCCTTCGTTGCAGGACTGGCTTGCCGTGGGTTCAAGCACCGCTCCTTTCATTGAGTTACTCTTCATGTATTTCCGCAGGCTTCGGATTTATTAGGAAATTTAAATATTTGTTACCATTAGGTTAGGTTAACGTATATTAACTACCATATAGTTACCCTACACTAGTAAAAAAAAAAAAACGGGTGGCTTACTTGTGGCATCACGGGTTGTACATAGAAACCTTGAACATGCATTTTCACAAGGATAAAGAAAATACGTACAGAGGAAGGGTTATTGTGCATAGCTTGGCCAGCTTGTGCTACTTCCTGTATGTCACACTTGACATCCTTATTAAATACTCTGAGTCTGTATTCAACTCGTCCTCCAAATGACAGTTGAGAGTTCCAATATTTTAAAGTTCGTCCATTTTTGCGCCATCTAAACCAAGACTAAAATTAAATATCAGTTATTCTAGGTTATTTTAACATTAATTAATTGTACTTACAATAATTAAACTACTGAAATGGGTATGTAACGGTTGATAGTGTCAGTAGTTCCCAACTTCACGTTATTGCTTAAATAATTACAAACCGCACGCTGTTATTTATGGTGTCCCCCTCAAGGGACACCATAAATAACGCTGGTGAGGGGCTCTTGAGCTAGGGAATTGGATCTGTGTTCCAGTTCCCTGAATTAAGCCTGAATACCTTATATCCCCCCCAGGCGCTGTATAATCCTACGGGTTTAGCGCTCGCCCATGATTATAATATGTCGGACAAGTTATGGTATATAACATGCTTAAGTTGTACAGTAATTGGTATGGTGATACAAACAACCTCTGGAAAAGGACATTTATGTAGAGTTCAGGACATTAAGACTAATGAAGGCACTCGTGGCAAAGCGTTTCCTTTAATAAATTCCCTTATCCACGAAACATGCTTAGTATATTCAGTGTCTTCAAGAGACTTGCCGCTTTCCCTATCCAGAGAGTAAATGGTCCCTGTGGCATTTTTCTCTTATACTAATATTAATCTTTAAATTATGTATTGCAGATATCGCCTAATGAGTTGTCCTAGGAATAATGAACTGCAAACAAGAGGAAAAGCAAAAGTTTAAAAATTGTCAGTAAGAAGTAAATAGCACCACGGCACTCTTCTCTTAATGATTGTGCTGCGCTGTATGACCCTTGTAGGTTTAGCGCTTTTTTATTATAATCTTAATGATTGTCCTTTCGTTATTAAACTCCCCCCCTGTTCATTTGTTTTGCCCGTGCGCGGGTGTGGATTCTATTGTATCATAAATACGTATATATATAAGGAGAAATAAAATTTATTCTAGTTCTCGATTACCTGTGAAAACAGGATTGACAATTATCACATAGCACGTATATTATTATTTTTTTTTGTTTAGGTTTTAGTTCATTATTTTAACACTATTACTCTTTGATGTTTTAATTACTACATGCTTAGCATTCTATTTGTTGTTTGACCCCTCACCAAACTGATTTCTGTTATAGGAAGGCTTGCCGCGCTCTTTTAAGGAAGTTGCTGTATAACCCTTACGGGTTTGGCGCTTAATTTGCCAATAGTAATAATAATACTTTTAAAGGATTTATTTTTCTGCTGCATGTTAGTTTATGCTAAGTAGAAGTTTGAGCCGTAGCAGAACACAGGTTGAAGACAGTCAGGATAACATAGCCAGCAGGGAAGCACTTACCATGGCGTAGTGTAACAAACCAGGTAAACCGAGCCAGGTAAACCTGTTCTAACAGATCTTCCTGACACTTTCTCTCCCCCTCCCTGGCAGACTGGAGTGCGGCAGGACGTGAAGAAGAGGATTGAGGACATTCGTCTGCTGGAGTCGAGAAAGTCTGCCCGCCTCGCGGACCAGGACACAGACTTCGCCAAGTTGGCAGACATGTCCACCGACCGCAAGGACCGCAAACCCTCGCAAACCATCGACGTGCCCGCTCCCTCAGGTGTCCAAGGGTATGTTGACTAGTGTTGTGTGGTGGTGATGGTAGTGTCCTATCTCTGCCTTTGATGGTTCCGGGATCATCGCCCTTGTGGCAAATGTGTGTACACTGTAGGTACCCGTGCCTGTGTATATTGTGTGTACAGCCGCACACCTGCTATCAGTCACATACTGGCTTGTCCAATTGTTTGGGTTCACTGAGGCACGTTTCTCTGAACGTCACACACAGGATGACCAGATGGCAGCGCTCTCTGATACATTGAAATGCTTAGTAGGATAATAGCTCTTGTGCTGCCAAGTAGAGCAATTTTGTGCAGTCATGATAATCTTGTAAATAGGTATAGTTAAGTATATAGTAGCCTAAGAAATTTTAATGTAGATTCCTATTGTAAGTTGCTGGTAAGTACTCTGACAATATATATATATATATATATATATATATAATAATATATATATATATATATATATATATATATATATATATATATATATAATGAACTAAATTCGTCTAGATTTAGCGCTTCCTGCCTTATACAAGTCTAAAATCTTTAGTGATATGGATTTCATTTTGCGTCTTATCCTACTTTTATTATCGATTTAGTTACGATATTAAACTCGTTAAAATTCAGATTATGGATTCCTGTGCTGGGTAGTGGTCGAAGAAGCCCGGGAAGTCAGATGGTGGGAGAAGCCAGGTGGTGGACGAAGAAACCAGGTGGTGGCCGAAGAAGCCGGGTTGATGTAGCCAGTGAAGCCGTTGGCTATAATTTGGTATGTGTTCTCATGACCCTCGACAGGGAGGCCTTGGCTGGGACTGGGAAGCTGGGGCGACGATTCACATATATATTACCACCGGTGTTGTCACATGTACATCGCCACAAATCTCAACACTTAAGTTTAATTGAAAGCAAATCTCTCTTGGAAGTTAACTTTTAGTGTAAGGTGTAAAGTTATCTCAGTGATGTACACGAAAAGCTCAATAACTAAAGCGAGAACAATAAGGTGAAACATGGGGCAGCAGGAGTACATCAGTAAATAACGTTATCACAGATTGCCTCTCGTCGTATCTTGGTGAAAATAAGATACCAGAAATTTCGAGCTGGTATCCTAAATTTGCTTGTAATGGATAAATTACCATTTTGTAAATAATATATGTACACCGAGCTGTACTCTTGATAACCCTTTAAAGGGTCTACTTCCTGAGCCTTTTTGTGTATCCCTATGTTCTTGCTCTGCCATCCACAGTTAGCCCATTTTCCATTTTTTTTTTGTTAATTTGATAAAGTACACGCTGCAGATGGTGCGATTCACCCCGCCTTGCCACACGTAAGCCACCCATATTTTTTATTTAATTATTATTGGGTGATTATATGAGAATAGGTTAATATACGTTAAACTAATCTAGCAGAGAATAATAAATACTAAAATTTCCGAAGAGATTCGAGCTAACAGAAATGCAGGAAGGGGAATTCACAGACATATGCACAAGCCTAGACACAGGGAGAGTGGACCTAGTAGCAACCACAGATAGGTGAATACTCTCTCACACACAAAATAATTAAGCTGGGAATTCCTGCAGCCTCTGCCTCCACACCTGGGGTCTGCCACCTGTTGAATGACGTAACTGTATAAGGGAATTTACCCAGGTCTGACAATTGTTGGGAGGTTACCTGGAACACTTTATCAGTGCTGAGATAAGAGACGCGTTTAGCTTGTCAAGTGTAGTTGCCACGGCAACACTAGCGACAAGCATGGCTACCACGGCAAAATGACAAGTGTGGCTGTCACGGCAACACTAGTCGCAAGTTAGGCTGCCATGGCAACACTAGTGAGAAGCTAGTCTGCCACGGCGACACTAGTGGCAAATGTGGCTGTCACGGCAACACATGACAAGTGTCTGTCATGGTAACACTACTTGGTGAGATAAAGAGACGCGTTGAGATTGCCAAGTGTGTCCTCAGTGTTCACTTATAATTCCTACTGAGAGAAGCAGTGTTTTTTCGATTTTTTTTAACGAGGAAGCAGTACTATTAATTAAGAATTTTAACAGAGGGTAGCAGTGTTAATTTCGAATATTTTCTGGGGGAGGCAGTATCAGTTTCGAATTATTGAGGGAGGCAGTTTTAGTTTCTAATTCGGTTTAAGCTAGTTACCAGAGTATAAGCATATCCTTCCCAACCTGTGGTAAAAACCCATCTGGTTATTTAGGCCTTATGTTTAATTTTTAACATTTACAATGGTTTTAGGTAAGACGTGCAGCAGTTGGGAAACTTTACTGATGAAACGTTTTGCATACACAGTAGGCGTCTTCAGTCAAATACCGATGAGACTTAATATGGAGACAGCAGAAGCAGTGGCGAGGTAAAGGTAGTGAGATCAGTCTATAAACCTTGTAGGCGGTTTAGCGCTTTCTTTGATTATAATTATAATAATAAACCTTGTAGTAGCTTTTGCGCTGGTCAGTTCTTCAGCCTGAAGAAGAGTTCAGCTCCATATTCTGGAATCATGTGAAGCTGAAACTAGGCAGTAGATTCGCCGGTATAATCGCCCTGCCCGGGCCTTTTCCAAGAGATGGCCTGGCCTTGACTCCCTGTCGTGGGTGTGTCTCAAACCAATGCCTGCCATGGGAGGAGGTACGAGTACCTCCTCATCTTCTGGGACCAGCTGTCCTCAGGCCTATCCCCATTTCCCGCCCCCACGGGGCTCAGAGGGAGAAGCTAGGCACCTTGGGCTGCCACAAACCCAGAACAAACACACACACTGGGCGGGGTTTGTGGGAGCGCTAAGCCCGTAGGATTATGCAGCGCCTGTGGGGGGATGTGGAAGGTATTCAGGCGTAATTCAGGGAACCGGAGCACAGATCCAGTTCCCTAGATCAAGAGCCCCTCACCAACATCAAGGAACCTTGAGGCAGCTGCATAGCAGTAGACGATGTCAGGAGGGGCAAAGGCAGCAAGCACTACAGGATCCTTTTGGATCCACACCCTAGCTTTGGGCATTTAGCCCGAGCGCTGGGGAAGCTCAGGAATGCATCTTGCTGTGTATGTTGCTGTTGCTATTACTTCACTTGTCCGTTGCACCTTGTATCTCGAAGCTGAAGCGTGAAAAAATGAGCCTTATTTATTGCTAAAGGTGACGCTCGGAAAATCTCGAAGACGTCCCAGGAAGCGGGACCCACTAGTAGAAGCAAGATGACAAAGGTTGAGGAGTACGGCAGCGATCCTATTGGCCCATGCTAAGTAGGTCTGTCTCAAATTTAACCCTTTTCACCCATAACAAGTGGTTAAGCAATAAAGTTGTGAAAGATGTTTTCTAACTCAAGATACTGTTGTGCTTCTGTATCACATAAAATAATGAAAATATTCAAAGCCGACAAGCAGGTGAGAAAATGCAACAGTTGGGAATCTGTTGTTGACATATTTCGTTTACACAGTAGGCTTCTTAAGTCAAATACAGATATTATTAATATGGAGACAACAGAAGGAGTGGCGAGGAAAATTGATGTGATCAGTACGTCAACCTTGAGTAATATTTGAGGCGGTCAAGTGTTTCAGCCCGAGTTCAGTTCCATGGTAGCTTAATCAAGTAGATTATGCAGGATTTAACCTAGGATGATCTGTTTAAGTCAAGCAATGTGATTTATTTTCTTTGGTCTCCAGACAGATAAGCTAGATATCTATAGCTGGCTAGGTCACCGTGAGTGCAGTAGCGATCCTAGTATCATGTGACTATATGTAACTGCTCTCAAACATTCTCATCCTGTTTTTTTTTTCTCTAGTTCATTCGCTACTTTTATTCCTTTCCTTTTCTTTCAGTTGTATTTTGTCTATCACCCTTTCGTATTTTTCTATTTCTTTTTTTTAGCTCCCTTTCGTGTCTTTCTAGCTCTCTTAATTTCCTCATTACTATCATCATCATCAAGTAGGCCGGCAGGTAGGTAGGTAAGCAGGCGGGCTGAGGTGATAATCTCTTCCAAGACTGGAGCGTCACACTTGTAGGAGAGACTAAGCCGTGCACGGGCGCTGAAATAACTAATAAGAAATTTAGCACTGCACCAAGAATCTTTTTTGTAATTCTTTTTATATCCCAAGCTGTGTTTATCTACGGTCATATTATTATTATTATGGATTATCGATTTACTAAGGATTTTAATTGCAGTTATGTGACAGTTTATTATTTAACCCTCTTAATAATATTTGTGTTTGAAGCAAAACAAGATTTTATTTATCTTTAAAGTATTTTATTACGCCAATTTTATATCTTGTCTTGTAGGAGTAAGTCATTTTGAGATGGAGTGCACACTAATAACATTAATAACTTTATTTTTTTTATTAACTACTTTCATATCTCTACCTGGCTTTTGCATTATTGTCATTGTTGAGCTCAGTTCATTTAGTGATTATCGAAAAGTCTGGCTCATTTTCACAAGGTAGCTTTATTGTCATTAGGATGGTAGTTTAGTTTGTAATGTTGAAGCCTACTTGTTAATGCTTATGCCAAACCCAACTTGATTCCTATATTTCTTAAAACGAGGAAGTCGTAACGAACAGTTGCAGTCCTGCCCTTATGCCTCAGCCACTTGCTCTTGGTAGCTGGGCTCATGTATGAAGTATGTCGTGAATATAGAAAGATTCGTTGAGCCATTATGTTTAATAGTATTGAATAATACGAAAATAATGAGTAATACAGCGTCTGTATGTCCCGACGGCCTGGTTCTAATTGACTAGTGAGGAGGGAGAGGTGTGTGCATGTGCAATAGAATTACCTGGAGCGATATATAACTGTTGAAATGCTGGGTTGCTGACAACTGGACTTTCGTGTGGAGGCATCAGTAATGTATATAATTTGTTTGCTGATTATAGTTCGGCGAGTGATTGCTTTTGCAATTAATTTAAGCAAGGGGTGATAAGCTCTGTGAGGGCGCTGTGAAGAGCATACTGTTAAATGAATACATCTTCTATGGAGAGCTGAAGTACTTTTGTTATCTGTAATGATAAGAGTTCATGCAGATTATGAAATTTATTATTCTTATTTTTTTGTTATTTATTTGTATCTGTGTTTACGTCTAGACATTTAGTAAAATTTATAGTGACAATGTTTACTTTGGTCTCTGAATGCTAATACGAGGCAGTGCCATGTCACCAGTGCTGTGAATACTGTGATAATTATCTTTATATGCAGTAAATGACTTGGTCCAGTTGGAGGAAGAGAGAGCGAGCGAACGAGAGGTTCATATTTGTTATCCCACTAAATGCTGATAACAGTTCATGTAACACATCAAACAGTTTCCACTATGTATATTCCCTGCGTAGCCTAGCAACTGCCTGGGTTGTGTACAGAGATCCTTTACTGCACGTATAAGTTCTGTCAAGCATCTTTACTGGGAACGCTTGGAAGCACTTGACTTGTACTCGTTGGAACGCAGGAGGGAGAGATATATCATAATCTACATTTGGAAAATCTTGGAAGGAATGGTCCCAAATCTGCACACAGAAATCGCGCCCTACGAAAGTAAAAGACTGGGCAGGCGATGCAAAATGCCCCCAATAAAAAGTAGGGGCGCCATTGGTACACTAAGGGAAAACACCATAAGTGTCCGGGGCCCAAAACTGTTTAACAGCCTCCCATCAAGCATTAGGGGAATTGCCAATAAACCCCTGGCTGCCTTCAAGAGAGAGCTGGACAGATACCTAAAGTCAGTGCCGGATCAGCCGGGCTGTGGCTCGTACGTTGGACTGCGTGCGGCCAGCAGTAACAGCCTAGTTGATCAGGCCCTGATCCATCGGGAGGCCTGGTCATGGACCGGGCCGCGGGGGCGTTGATCCCCGGAATAACCTCCAGGTAACCTCCAGGGTTCTGTTCCGAGGGGTCCCTGCCTGAGTAAATGCTCCCATAACAATTACAGATGTTTGTTTCCATTCTGTACCTTAATGCGTCTGCCTTTCTCTTTCGCTGCCATCATGGTGATGATGGTTGGCGCAGGTCCCGCAAGCGGCGCAGTTCTCACTCGGAGGAGGACCAAATGGACGAGTGTGCAGCGGCCATGGTTCTCATGAAGCTCTCGTGCTCACCACGATCCCCGCTCATGCCTGACGGTAAGTACAATTTTAATGTCACAAACCGACCCCCATGGAAAGACTCAAACAAAAACAAGAGACGAGTACCGTCATGTATTTCGGCCTCACACTAAAGTTCTCAGTAAACTAAAGAAATTTGCAGAAAAGATGAAGCTTACGGTCGAAATCATGTCACCTGATTTAGAGTATAGGAGAAACAATTGATTTTACAGCTAAGGTAGTGATAGCATCATCCTGTTTCCAGTGGCTTTTTTTTTTTTTTTTTTTTTTTAAGTTTAGATTGGGTCGTAATGTTGTCGTAGACTATTCGAAGATGCTTTGCTTGTACATATATTTTACTCTATATATAATGGAAGCAGCTTCTCAGCTGTCATTGTGGTTTTGACTATCATACTGTCATGTGCATGTCGAAAAGACATTTTATGTTCAGGTACTCGAGTAATTATTTTTCGAATTTGTCTTATATATGATTGGTTGCAGACTTTACAAAGGATTTTATATACACCGGGTATATCCAGGGTTACCGGAAAATTATTCTGGGGCCACTGCAGTAGTAGCTCGGTCCCAGACCAGGTTCTGTATGTTTTTTTTTTTAATCCCTGGTTGGTTACACACCTATTTTGACGAGTATTTGGGTTAGAAAATTTAGTAGTTGTTACTTTTTTTTCGTGCTCGTGCAATTGTTTCGTAGTAAGGCATTAAGAATTATATATCAGTAGCCAGTGTAAAGGATTTTCAGTGGTCTTAACGTCCATATACCTAAAGTCAGTGCCCGATCAGCCGGGCTGTGGTACCTACGTTGGATTGCGTGCGGCTAGCAGTAACGGCCTGGCTGATCAGGACCTGATCCACAGGGAAACCTGGTGGAGGACCAGGCATCGGGGAGGGGGGTTGATCCCCGGAACAACCTCCAGTTACACTTCAACATTTGCTTGTGTATCTCGATCAGACGGATGACCATAGAGAGACAAGCTTTTTCCTTGGGTAGGAAGAACCCAATCAGGCACATGTTTTGCGAGTATAAAAATTTCTGTACACCCCACTGTGTGAGTAGGTACTCGTGCCGAACATTTGGTTTCCAGTGTAATTGGTCAAGACGCTGGATACTCTGCTAGATAACATACTCTCAATTTATGTCATTATGCTTTTGGGGGTTTGAGAAGTATTTAAATACAGGTTAACTGACATTCACGTAACCTAATCGAACGTAGCTTAAAATAAAAACAGGAGGAGCAGATGTAGTGGTGATAGAGGGTAGTGATTAGTTGGGAAAGTAGTAGTGTAGAAAGCTCACAAATACACGAACTGGCACGCGTTAGAAAACTAATGGATAAGCTGTTATTGCGAGTACAGATTACAGTGGGAGGCACTTTTCTCGCTGCTCGGAACACCTGGGTGCAGGCCAAGGAGTGAGGCAAGTACTTCAACATTTTTGCTTTTTTTCTATGAGAACGAGCAGAGAGCGGAGCGTGAATTAGCAAGGTAAAGGAAGGGAGCGGTCGTGCGTGAGGGACGGGGCCGCCACGGTGCCGTGAACACCGGCCGGCTTTGCTCGTGAAAGTTGGCGTCACGGTGTGGTCACCTGGCCCTCTGTGGTGGCGTCACCAGTGCCCACCCTGAATAATGCCAAGACAGTGCCTCACTATCCTCCTTTTTCATATCATATATAATTTTTCTTGCTCATTACTCCTGAGTATGGGATAGGCCATCCGGAGAGACAGTAAGTAAAAAAAAATATATAAGTATCTCACTGCACACCCGTAACTCAGTGGCCAGAGGTATTGTATTTTATTACAAGCTGTGTTTAAACCCGTGTGGATCAGGAGTGGTGGAGGTTGAATCCTCCACCCGCTAATCACGCCCCGGTCTCTCACCAGTCATGCTTTTACTGGTCAGAGAGTTTAGTTCACAACTGAATGGTCCTGGGTTCGAGTCCCAGGCCCGACGAAACTTATGGAAAAGTTTCATTACATCTCTGCTGATCCTTCTCACCTAACAGTTAAATTAAGTCGAGTGTTGTAGATTGCATCCTGGGGAAACCTTAATACACAGATGTGTTAGTAACTCCAGACCTGCTACAAGTAGGAAGCGCTGCCTACAATATATGTGTATACTGTGGTCTGTAGCAGTACTTAAAAAATACAAATCTCCCTCCCCCCCTCTCTCTGTCTTTCTCTCTTATTAAGAGGAGAGAGAGAGGGGTTTAAGGGGGTGGTGTTCCCTGAAGACGGTCTCTGGGAGGTGGAGAGGACGTATAAGGTCCTTGAGCTTGGCTGTGTCCATTACTCACTCATAATACATACATCTCTTTTCTCTCTCTCTCTCTCTCTCTCTCTCTCTCTCTCTCTCTCTCTCTCTCTCTCTCTCTCTCTCTCTCTCTCTCTCTCTTTTTTTTTTTTTTTTTACACAGGGTTTGACAAGGTTAAGGATCCCTAGCTTTATTGACAGCTATTTACAGGTTAAGGATTCCTAACTTTATTGGCAAGCTAAGAGCTGTTACCTACATCAGCTCATTTGAAAGCATTTTTGTTATGAGACATACAAGTAGGAAACAGGATGAAGTTGGAGCCATCTGTGGGCCAGCATTTTCATTTGATCAACTGACTTTATCTCGTTGACATCATTATGCTGTACGAATGTGTTCCATACTCTAGTCATCCTGGGTATGTATGATCTCAGATGGAGTGATGTTCTGGAGAAGGGTACAGCCAGAGTGAAGTTGCTGCTTTCTGCCCGTCTTGTGGCATAAAAGCTTGTTTCACGCTGTCCTCGAAGTGGATCCAAGTGTGGTATTTTGACAATATTGGCCTTGTACATAACAGTAAGGCCACCCACATCCCTCCTATGTTGAAGGCTCTGCTGAAATGACAGATCTATCCAGGATGGGTCCCGGCGAGAGATGAGACGTCTTGCTCTGTTCTCTACTCTGTCAAGCAGTCGCAGATGAGAGGGGGGGGGGCAGGCAAACCAAGAAAGTGGAGCATACTCAAGGTGCGAGCGTACTTGTGCCTCGTACAGGATCTTGCAACCCCTACTGTCAAGCAGATGGGAGATACGGCGAAGTGCTGTAAGCTTTCCTCTCTCTCTCCTCTCTCTCTCTCTCTCTCTCCTCTCATATCTCCTTCTCTTCTTCTCCGCATTCCTCTCTCTCTCTCTGCCTCTCGATATCTCTCTCTTCTTGATCCCTCTCTGCCTCTGATGTCCTTCTCTTCTTCTAATCCCTCTTCCCTCTTGTTCTTCTGATTCCTTCTTCCCTCTTCTTTTGCTATTCCTCTCTCTCCTACTCACTCTTGATGATTCTTCTTCTTCTCGCCCTCATATCCTATTTCCTTTATCTTCCTCTCATGATTCCTTCTCCTCTTCTCTGCTATCCCTATCCTCCAGCCTCTCGCTTTGCTGATTTCTTCTGATTCCTTCTTCCCCTCCCTCTCCTCTTTGTTTATCCTTTTTCCTTCCCTACCCTCTCCCATCCCCCAACTCTTTTTACCTTGCCTCCATCAGTTCCACCTTCCTCCTTCTCAACGACCTTTCAACCACCCATCCATTCGCCTCCTCCCCTCGTTTCCTTTCTTCCCTTGCTCCCTCATTTTCCCCTACCCTCTGGGGCTCTTCATCCTCCTCAAGGCTCCTTTGTCTACCCTCTTGGGCATCGATCCTGCAGATCTTACAAGAGAACTTAGGGAAGTCTCTACCACATTAGACCTCAAGAAAACCGACCTTACAAGGAGACACAAAACCAGAGTCTCCATCAGAGTCCAAAGAAACATGTTCTTGCATCATTTTTCTTGAATTGCTTCAGCTACAGTGGCTCGTCGAGGAGGAGAGGGGGGGAGGGTGCCATGATGCTGGTGAAAGGTGTTTTTGATTCAAGGAACTGGAGCTACCTTCGGATACCATGGAACCGGACGCTTCTCAAGGCTGAGCACCGACCCCCGTCAAACTACACATTCAATGAGGGACTGACCACCTCATCTTTACCTCTTCACTGCTTCAGCCGTCTCCATTTTTTTGCCACATTTGTATTCGACTGAAACTGTCTCTTGTGGAGCGAAACGTTTCGGAAATTAAGATACCAAAGTGTTACACAATTGTTTTATTCATCAACCTCTCAGTGTATATACACTGATGAGATGTACACCTCTCAGTGTATATACACTGATGAGATGTACACCTCTGTGTATATACACTGATGAGATATACACCTCTGTGTATATATACACTGATGAGATATACACCTCTGTGTATATATACACTGATGAGATGTACACTTCTCAGTGTATATACACTGATGAGATGTACACCTCTGTGTATATATACACTGATGAGATATACACCTCTGTGTATATACACTGATGAGATATACACCTCTGTGTATATATACACTGATGAGATGTACACTTCTCAGTGTACATACACTGATGAGATGTACACTTCTCAGTGTATATACACTGTTGAGATGTACACTTCTCAGTGTATATATACACTGATGAGATGCACACTTCTCTATATACACTGATGAGATGCACACTTCTCAGTGTATATACACTGATGAGATGTACACTTCTCATTGTATATACACTGATGAGATATACACTGATGAGATATACACCTCTCAGTGTATATACACTGATGAGATGTACACTTCTCAGTGTATATACACTGATGAGATACTTCTCAGTGTATATACACTGATGAGATATACACCTCAGTGTATATACACTGATGAGATATACACTTCTCAGTGTATATACACTTGTGAGATGTACACTTCTCATTGTATGTACACTGATGAGATATACACTTCTCAGTGTATATACACTGATGAGATATACACCTCAGTGTATATACACTGATGAGATATACACTTCTCGGTGTATATACACTGATGAGATATACACTTCTCATTGTATATACACTGATGAGATATACACTTCTCAGTGTATATACACTGATGAGATGTACACTTAGTGTATATACACTGATGAGATATACACCTCTCAGTGTATATACACTGATGAGATATACACCTCTCAGTGTATATACACTGATGAGATATACACTTCTCATTGTATATACACTGAGAGTGTATACATTCTCATTGTATATACACTGATGAGATATACATCTCTGTGTATATACACTGATGAGATATACATATCATCAGTGTATATACACTGAGAGGTGTATATTTCATCAGTGTATATACACTGATGAGATGTACACTTCTCAGTGTGTATATACACTGATGAGATGTACACTTCTCAGTGTATATACACTGATGAGATATACACCTCTCAGTGTATATACACTGATGAGATATACACCTCTCAGTGTATATACACATGAGATATACACCTCAATGTATATACATTGAGATATACACCTCGGTGTATATACACTGATGAGATATACACCTCTCAGTGCATATACATTGATGAGATATACACCTTCATGGATATACATTTATGAGATATACAACCTCTCGGTTTATTAACACACATGAATGATATCACCTCTCAGTGTGTAATGTCGTGCCTTTTAAGGCAGAGTTTGCGATCTTGGCATATAAAACACTGATTATTTTTATTAAACAACACAATTGAAATGCATTGCAGCAGTAACTCTGAAAGTCAGTATGAACATCACAAAAAATATATTTCACTGATGTTAAATAATACAAACTAAATTTAGGCTGACCTAGGATACATTTTGTTTTTGCATAGTTAACTTAGGTTGCAGCGTTAGTCTTGATGCAGAAATCATGTTAAATGTACAGTATATTAATTCACATCAATATATTTATCAATATATGATAAAAAACTTCGAAATTATCTATTTTTAGGATAGTTCAACTTGTTTGACTGATTATAAATCATAATGCATATTCTTTGAGATATTCGCATTACTGTGTCAGCATAAATCACAGTTATATACATACTGATATACCAGCTACTGCTTGTACATGTATATATACGATGGAGAGTGGGGTGGAAAGTAAGGGTTAAGGTGTACACCTGTGTATATTCTTTGATGGGGTGTAGAGTATGGGGGTAAAATAATTACTGTCTGATACATTCAATGAACACCTCTGGGGTGACAAGTGACCTGCAGTGAGTTATAACCCAAGAAGTATCACCAGTGATTGCTACTCTCTAAGATAACTATTATTAATAATAGGTGTTAATGTTACTGGAATGACTCACCGTATTCATGACTGATCGCATCTAAACTCGTTTTAAGAGAGAGAGATGGATGTGAGAAAGATGAGAAGGGATTTTTCAATTAATATTATTAGATACACAATAATCTGTAGATAACTATACGTTTAACACTCGAATATTTCCAGCAGGACTGCAGTTTGCTAACAAATTTACAGATCCACTTTTTTTACTGCTAGGCGAGCAGAAGCAGTAAGAGTAAATTTGCCCTAACGTTTCTCCGTGTTTGTGGTACCTAACCCAGGACCTAGGGATTGGAAGTGAATGCTCTCAGCAGTGAACTATGAGTCACCTGCAGACGAGAGAAGAGAGAGTTCCATGGTGACAGGACAAAGCAGGTGTTTTTATATGCGCAGTGGTCAGTGGTGGATCCTTGTCATCTCCAGTACAAGGCACTGTCACTACCATTGCTGCTGTTTACTACTACTACTACTAAAACCACTAGCACTACCACCGCCACCATCCACCATATACACCTGTGTAGTTTCGTGACAAGACTCGCTAGAGCCCCCACCCTCTACAGGCAGCCTATCCTTATTTTACACCTGTTGTTTCTTTATTTACGGTCTACTAACGCTTTTGTGATTGCTCTAGACCCAGGAGCAGCAGTGTTACCGTCGTTTAAGGACTTTCACTTTCGAAGATATTCGTTGTGTCAGACGCTGCTATCAAAATTGGAACCGAGAGTCAAAATGCCGTACAATGTTGACACTGAAAATACGACTAATATTGTAGGCGATGGGTAGACATAAAGATGGTGATGAATGGACAGTGATATAAATGAGAAAAATGGCGTCGTAGAGACTGAAGATTTTGCTAAAATCCCTTCAAGGGGAGTGAGATGCCTTGACGCAGAAGAGCTCGTGATCCGAGGAATTGGAACTATCAACCCCTTCATCTCATCAAACCTGACTCCCATTACCCAAATGCTATATAACCCTTACGGGTTTAGCGGATCCCCATGAATAATGTTAATGAGTTTGTTACTGGTGTAGCGTGAGTGTTGTAGGTGTGCTCGAGGCTGTTAGTGTTAGTTTGCGTGTCTAGTGCTAGTAATGATAGTTATGAACGTAATTACTCAAGTATTGCACCAACTTTCACCACATTAAGAAATATAAAACTGCGATAGTCATGGGAGCTTACAATAATGACACAAGGAAAATGACATCTTATGTATACGAATGATCAATTGAAAATTGTAAATGTTAGAAATAAGTTTTAAAAATAAAATTTTCAAAAAAATAAATTGTACTATGCTTTATTGATTGGAAAGAATGCACATTGTTGAGGCAGGACGAGAGTGCGTGACGTACTCTGCCAGCTACACCCCTCCATTCCCTGTCAGTCATCAGGTGGTGCGTGTGGCTGCCTTGCCACACCTCACAAAATACCTGTAATTCCCGTTAAGAGTTTTGTATATTGGGTGTGCAGGTTTGGGTGTCTCGGGGTGCAGTGTTTGTTGCCCTTTGTTGCTGGTTGAGGCAGGGTCTCCGCACGCCATTGTTTCTTCCTGTATCCATATATTCACAGCTGTGTTCGTGATAGGGTACTCGCCGAATGTGACTTACAGTATGAATTAAAAATGTTCCCAGTAGAATGTTGTTTAGCTTGGTATACTGTTTGTGTGTGTGTGTGTGTGTGTGTGTGTGTGTGTGTGTGTGTGTGTGTGTGTGTGTGTGTGTCAGTAGGTACACTTGTGATGGTTGTGTCCATTTACCGAGGTTGAGAGTGCCTAGTAAAATATTAAGTTATTTCATTTTTTGGTAATATTTGCGTGATTTTTTTGACGCTGTAATAACCGTTTATTTAGTAGATGTGCACATACGAATATCACCAATTTATGGTTTATACTGAAGCCATCTTTTTATTGGTAACATGGAGATGACAGCTGTAGCCTCTCAACAGACCTTGATGAAAAGCTCTTAATCCAAGGAGTGGAGCAATTCTCCCTTTCCTAGGATCAAATTTCCCTAACTGTACGCCCAATATGGGCTTATATTTTTCCAGGAATATAATAATAGGCTGGTCAACCTCTGGGAATCGGCCACTCCGTTATGCTCAACGTCTCCAGATTATTTTGTGATCTTTTTTATTTAATTTACACACAAGAATTTCCATTGGACGAAAATGTTTTATGCTGGTCAATAATGAACGTTGATTTTTGTGCCGCTTTAACCCTTTGGTGTGAACTTGGGGTGTGTGCTCCAGTCATTACCTGGCAGCAAAGTCTATTTGCCACCAGGCTTGAGCTTCCTCGTAGATGACGCAAGGTTTTTTTTGGGGGGATGGTTAAATTATTCTAGTATGATTGGTAGTTTATTTGCTGCCCAGTTCTAGCAAGGCCCAGGGCTCATAGGGTGAAAACTTGCAAATTAACTTTCCACCCGTGCTTGTGGGAATGACGCTATTTTAAACACACTTTCCATTTGTTGTGCCAAATTTTCATCTCACTCGCATACACTAAATATATATATATATATATATAAATAATATATAATATATATATATATATATATAAATTATATATATATATTAGTATAATAATATATGTCGTGCCGAATAGGCAGAACTTGCAACTCTTGGCTTAAAAAGCAACGCTCATCTTGCCATATAGGACAAGTGAAAATTTGTGAATGCAATAATTTCGCCAAAATCATTCTGAACCTAACTAAAAAAATATATTTGAATTGTGTTTGTTTAGTACTTAAATTATTGTAAACGTATTTAAAATATATATATTGGGTTTAGGCTAAAATAAGTGTTCTTGTTATAATAGGTTAGGTAAGTTTTCTAAGATTCTTTTGGTGCAAATTAAATACTTTTTACAATGCTATTTGACAAAACTTTACTATCTTAATGACGAAGTTTTTTTGGGGATTTTAAATATTCTAGTATGATTGCAGTTTATTTGCTGCCCATATTATGCAAAGGTCCAGGCTCATAGGGTAAAACTTGCAATTAACTTATCCACCGTTGCTTGTGGATAGACGCTATTAAACAATTTCCATTTAATTGTTGCCAAATTTTCATCTCGACTCGCAAATACACAATTATAATATATATTAAATTAATATATATATTGTATATATATAAATATATATATAATATATTATATATATTTATGTGTGCCGATATGAGGCAGAATTGCAATCTTGGTCATAAATAGCAACGTATCATCTTGCATATAGGACAAGTGAAAATTTTGAAGACTTAATAATTTTCTGCCAAATCATTCTGCAACCTAACTAAAAAAATATATTTGATTGTTTTTTTAGTAATAAATTATTGTAAATATTTAAATATATATATATTGGTTAGGCTAAAATAAAGTTTCTTTTATAATAAGGTTAGGTAATTTTCTAAATTCTTTTGGTGCAAAATTAAAATTTTTTATATGAACATTAATGAAAAAATATATCTTTAAACGTATAAGAAAAATTTTAGAAAGGATTAATTTTAAATGAGTTCTAGCTAATTGACCATGTTTTACATATTCGGCACGACATATATATATATATATATATATATATATATATATATATATATATATATATATATATATATATATATATATAGAATATAATATATATATATATATATAATTTTTGTGTCAAGACCCAAACTCAGCAGCCATGCCGGAGATGAGTGGTTGCGTAGGCCCACCATCTTCTGTAAGTCTGAAGTAACAGTTTTACCAGGCACATGCTTCTGCTTTGAGTAAACAATTGCAGCAGATATAACGAGACATATCAGCACGTCTCGCCCTGCCCACCAGCTGGTGCACGGGAAAATTTTTCTCATAGCAGATGTGGAGTAACAGATTTATTTATTCAGCGTCTTCCTCATTTTTCCTTCCTCCTCTCTTTCCTTATCCCCTCTTTCCTCCTACCCTCTTCTACTTTCTCCTCCTTTCCTTCCTTCCCTAAACACACTTGTTTGTTAATAATTGAGTGAGCTTTATCAGGTGGCTCAGGCAATGCCGGAGTTCCTCTATGATTATTGATCAGGTAACATATTGTCGCCATTAGATGATAGGTTTGTGTGACAGATCCAGGTGTCAGGTTCGTGCCAGATGTCGTGTAGCTGCTACTTTCCAGGATCAGGGTACAGCCCTAGGTATAGTGTGCAAGTTCCAGTTATCAGATCCAAGTTCTCAGATATCAGGTCTTAGGAATACTTCTCTCTGGCTTTATGTTGGTACTGATTCTGTGGTTGAGGAGTGGCTGGTGTTGGCGCTGTGCTGAGGGTGGCAATTGTTGAAGTGGTGTTATATTGACATCTCTGGCAGAAAGAGGGTGTATATCAGCGGTAGATTATACCAACAAGTGTGTTAATAAGATACAATATGTGCTTTATGGCATTTTACTGAGAAGTCGTTTAGTCCACCAGTGAGTTTATCAATTCTTACGGAGGTGGGTTAAAAAACTTTTATTAGTGGGGAGACGTAAGTTGAGATGTGTTTTATTAACAGAAAGAGGACGAGTGGTACTCTTTGTTATTGAGGAGTCATGGGAGGTACACAAAGCAGGAAGCTGGAGTCTCCACAAGATCTCTGGCATTCAGTAATTTTCCAAAAGTCGATTTTATCTGTGTTTAGGGTGACAAGTGGTCTTGCTGGCTCTTCTTTCCAGCTCCTTGTTTTTGTTGCTTTAACATGTTGCCTCAGGCAATTCATTGCCGCCTCCATCACTTTGGTCCCCCATGGGGGTTCATATGAGGTCTCAGATATCCTAGTACCATTCTGGTAGTCTACCCTGTCTGTCTCTAATTCTTTTTTTCTCCCCATTCTCCTTATGGGAGGCAGTCATTGCCTGCCATATATTCCTGTTCCAATTATGGTGACGTCCTGTACCAGCTGGTAGATTACTCAAGTCACAGTGTACCCAACACACTGTGTGGGAAGTCTCCTTCCCTCTTCACCTCCTCCCCACCCCTCCACCTCTGTCTCCTTCCCTCCTTCATCCCCATCCCTCCTCCACACACACTACCTCTTTCTCTACTCCCAGCACCTCTTATTTCCTCCTCCCCCCTCCTTCCCCTCCCTTCTTTAAACACACCACCACTACTGCCAGCGTCCAGGGAAATATTGACTCTGCTGGGGTGGGGGAGGAGTACAGGGGGCGGGGATGTAGAAGTGAGAGGGGGTCGGGGGAAGGGGAAGCGCTGGACCCCTGTCATGCTTTGTCTAAAGTGAGTGTATTCACCTATTTGTGTTTACTGGAGTTGAGTATCAGCTCTCAAACCAGCCGCTAAAGACTTTTTTTTAATAGTCGTGTCGTACCTGCTCTTAAAACTGGGTATAAAGTTTGCTATTATAACTTCCCTGCATCCCAGAGACTGAAAAAGTATTTCCTAACGTCCCTGTGACGCTCGTGTGTTTTCAGCTTTCACCTTTGTCGGGTGTAAATAGGACCTGCCTAGCGTAGACCAGTAGGCCTACCGCAGTTCAGTTTCAGATATTATCTTCAGAACATACGTCTCTTCACCTGACCTTGGCTCTCTCCTGACCTGACCTTGGCCTTCTTCTCACCCAATAACCTGACTTAGACTTTCTCACTCAAATTTGATAATGGTTCAAAAACGGAGCAAAGCCTCGTTTATTTTTTTTTTATTTTCAATTTGTGGATTAATTATTAATTGTTGCAGTCACGGTATTGTGACCTAGAGCCTTGCGGCAAACAGAAGGACTTTAAACAAAAAATTTATGTTTAATGATGTAAGATTTCCCTGCTGGCCTGCATACTCCACGATTGCTCTCTCTCTCTCTTTCCCATCTTTCTCTCTTTCCCCTCTTTCTCTCTTTCCCCTCTTTCTCTCTGTCCCCTCTTTCTCTCTCTCCCCTCTTTCTCTCTCTCTCCTGGTTAATGAGTCCTTGTATGTATGTATGTATATCCTACTCACTTAGGGGTTTAAAAACACACCTATGCAAACATTAGGACAAATTTATTAAAGAACAGGTTTTGGTCCTGTCACCTTGATTACTTTTCACATAGTGTTAGTGCCAGTATCACTTACAAAGGTTTATATCTCATTCACATACTTGTCGATCTTTATACACCATTTACGACGTAAATGACTATTTACATTCAAGAAGTTTTTTTCTTATATTTGTCTGCTTTGCATGTGCTGCTGATGTTATCTGGTTTGTGTTCCTCAGGTGAGAGGTTTCATGTGTTGGCCAACTAAAGATCTTTTTCATTTATAATCCGGGTAGTTGGACTCCCCTGGCCTCCTACTCAATTTGCTACTTCTTGGATCATTAAAGTATGTTTTTCAAAGTCTACTGCAACTGTAAATATATGTCCTAAGAGTCCTCCATCTGCAAAAA